GAAGGACTCAGCGGGCAACACGGGTGTGGTAGTCTTTGTGGACCGTTTGAGCAAGATGGCTCATTTTGCGGCAGTGCCGAACATCATCGACGGTGTGGGTACAGCGACGCTGTTTGTCGATCGTGTTTTTCGACAGCATGGACCCCCTGAGTCAATTGGCGCTGATAGAGACCCGCGCTTCACTGGGAAGTTTTGGTGTGCACTCTTCAGGGTGCTAGGCACCAACATGACTATGTCAATAGCAGACTATCCACAGACCGATGGTCAGACCAAGCGCGTAAATCGCGTCGTTAAAGACGTTCTTTGCAGCGTCTGCGCCGAGACGCCGAGGCGCTGGAGGGCTATGTTGCCACTCGCTGAGTTCTCTCTGAACAATGCAGTGCATTTATCTACCGGATATACGGCATTCTACGGGAACGGGCTTGTTAATCCTCGCGTGCCGCTGACGCCGCCATCCCATGGCTCAGGGCTTAGTGGGGGAGGAATAGCCGAATGGATGTCAGCCCCCTCATTGTACGTAAAGAAGTCGATGACTCTCTGTCTACTAGACTGAGTGTCCTACGACATGTTTGCGATGCGGTGGCTGAAAGCCAAGACATGCATAAATAGTATGCAGATCATTTGATTAGATGATGCCAGAGGCCAGATTTAGTTAAATGCTATCAACATTCCTACACATGCAGCCTCTACTGTCTGTAAGACAAAGCCCCGTCCACGATTTATTGGACCTTTTAATGTCGTGGCCAAGTTAGACCTAGCGTATACGCTGATTCTTGCGAGAAGAATGCACACCCATTCAGTGTTTTATGGGGGATGGCTTTAGCCATACCGGGATCCGGCGCAAGTGAACGTGGAAACGGTGGTGCACAAAGGCGCTCGGTCACCCAGAAGTCGAACCAGCAACTGGTTTTGAGCACGAAGTGCAACAAATTCCGTTTCCATCGGCGCAAGGCGCTTCACCGTCGCACGAAGTGACGTTTTTGCCTGCTCGACGGCTAGGAGCTACTCCGACAGAGTACGATAACCCTCAACGCGAGGCAGTGGCTGCACAAAGTGCTCCAGGCTCTCGAGGTCTTCTGCACAGCGATTAGCGACCTTGGGGAAGATGCTCGGCCGAGTGTTGATGATGACGGACTTTGTCCTTTAACGTTCGAAGAGCATCGCGAGTCACGGTACGGCGATCGACCAAGTCGCCATCGCCCGCCGCCGACGACTATCTTGATCAGAATGGTGTCGTTCACTACAACGTGGAACGCTTTGTGGATCGACGTCGTCGACGGGGTTTAATCCATTATCTTGTGAAGTGTCGGGGATACCCAAATACTGAGAACACGTGGGAGTTTGAAATGACACTTCGGCAAGATTGCCCAGACATCGTGGACGCACATTATTGGAAGAATCACGACGCTTCGCGCCGTCGTGCACACCGCGCTTCTCGGTAATAGTCCGGGAAGCCGGAGGGACATGAGCTGAGCTCAAGCTATGGCGCTGAGTTGCTGTGGTCGTAGACTCGCCCTTGTGAGAAACCACAAAGCTCGCTGGAGCATTATGTTTTGTTCCATATGTCGTAGGGCGACAATACGCAGGACGTTGCGCTTTCAGTTCGGCAAGCTCGAATCAAAGATGGGCTCTACGCGCACGTCCACTTCCTTGATAGACAGCAAGGAAAATATTCGGTGCCGCCGCAACAATCGCTCAAAGATACCATTGTCATCTGCAGCGGTTTTGCCAGTGACGAGCATCGCAGGTATAATCTGCTTTGTGGGAATAGGAGCTCGTCCTTTTCGAGCTCGAAGTCGAGCGCGGTACCGATCCGTTACCTCTTGGTGTACCAAAAAGCGAGTTCGGGGAGCATTCCGTTGATCAAGCTTAGCCGGTGCGGTGGTCGGAGGCACGACCACGAAGACGCCTAACGATCGAGTGATCGCGTCTTTCGACTCAGTAGCGGGATCTGCCGAGTGAAATCCGTTCTCCACACGAAGGTCTAAGACCGAACGTGGATACGAGCGCAGGAGATCCGCCCTGTGAGCAGCCTCCAATTGCTACCCCTGCCCAGGAACCTGCATTGTTATAAAAAAAAAGTTAATCGACCAACTTAGAACATCTTACGAGGGTTTAGGTATTGGACTTATTTGAAGCAGATTGCTGGTGCTTTGTAGAGAAAAGTATGTTAATTCACTAAAATAAATTAGCAAAAGAATTATCATACCGGAACATTTCGTGATAATTCTTCAGGAACTCTTATGGGACCTAAGGAATTACCACGAAATGATCTTGTATGATAACTTTTTTTGCAAATTTAATTCTTCCGTGGGACATGGATATTATAAATGGACTTGGTCCTTACGAACATTTTTCTATTTTGGATCTTGGTTGATATTATAGTCGACTTTAGCCCTCAAGAACATATCCTCATAAAAGTTTATTGGATGGTAAAGGCGGGAGCGAGAGGGTTTGCTGAAGCGGAGGAAGAGTCGTCGAAGCCGAGTGAACCGGTGCGAAGACACTTGAGTGGAAGAAGAAACATTCTAGGGTTACTTGGTTTGCATCCAATCATATGGTGCATCCAATCACACGCGACGGTTACTAATTAACCCGTGACCGTGGTTACGATTACAACCGAACCGCGACTAAGGTTAAGAAACAAATCGTACTTAATCGTGACCGGATTGGACCGATAGCCGGTAACTATAACAGTACAAAGCTGGCGACCTTACACCTCTAATACTAATAC